GGGGTGAGAGGCCAGGGAGTGCAGTGCAGTGGTTTGACACCGTGCAGTGAAAAAACCCCTCTCTTAGAGTCGAAGTTCTCGGCCAAGAATAGGGACAGTGGAAGGGTGAAGCCGTTTTGCAGGCAGAACGGTGTTTTTTGAGGGCCCTGTTGAGTTTGTAGTCAGTTGCATGCTGCCGCGGTCCTCCATCAGTCCACCGGTATAAGCATATGTCTAGAGAGGAATAAAAACTACTTCAAATAGGCAAACAGTGCTCAGATAGGTCATGTTCTCCAGTTCATCCCACCATCAATTAGGAAAGGAGTTTTATGTTGTTGCACACTCATGTTTGGCAATTCCTGGGAGGCCTGGGCACTGCATCAGAGACGTCACACAAACTGGGTGCTCTCGCACCCCCGCACACACCTCTAAGAGACTGTTTTGGCAACAGAGCTCCACAGGGCAATGTTGGAGGCGACAACAACAAGTCTGGGAAGCAGAGACGGATCCAGGGGTTTCCAATGCCTTAGAGGTCGCCTTTGAATATGTGTTTTGGGTTGGGATTACCTCAGGCTCAGGGAATGGCTCTACCCGCAACATGTCCGATGGATGCGGCACTGATTTGGAGCTTCTGCTGCGTATGGGCATGAAGGTTTGTCCTGCTGCATGATGAGTGGGATGGAACTAATGGAACTAATTCATCTGAAAAATGATTTTTTTTTTTTTGGCTAAGTTATTTTTCAGCCAAGACGTGTTCTGTAATCTTTTTTCCGTGACTGCCCAAATGCTTTTCTTGATACGTTAAGTAGAGAACAGGAAAATGTGGAGAGGAGGATGGCTGGAAGTGGTAACTGCTTAAGCTATAGCTTTAGATGTAGTGAATGCGGCTTTCGTTATTGAAATTTTGCAAATCTTGCAATTGAAAAGAATATGCAAGAGAACGAGGTAAATTTCCCCACCACTGCAAGGGCAGCGCCCATGTTGGAAAGAAAGAGCTGCAGGTGGAAATAATCAAAGAAACTTACTGAACTGCTTGCCCTTCCTTGCCTGTTCGAAGAGTTCTGCTGGCCGGCATAACGCAAAACCCGCTCCTACAAAACACGGATTACATAGTTCCCCTTGTGGAATGCGGCCTGTCCCCACATCTAAGATACATTCTTTCCTCATATCTTTCTAGGTAATAAATTGTTGTTACTGTGTGAATATCATATTCTAGCTGAAATCTTTCTGTGTGAGCACAGAAACAAAAAGAGTGAGTTGTGAATATGTATATGTTAGAACCTAGACAAAGCCTAATAAATCCTGAAAAACTTTGCAGTAAAGAAGCAAAGCATGTTTTTATGTTGAACTTTTAAATGCAAAACTTGGAAATGTTTTGCCATCGAATTCCTGCCCCTCAGAAAGGTGCCAATCAGTGCTTCTCCTACAAACACTCGTCTCTTCCGTGGTCTCTTTTTGACTTGCTTTTCTGTTGCTAGCCCTTTAAATTAGGAAATAGCAATAATACTCACGATTTTAGCAGCCTGTCATTTATCTATTCCTTTTTCTCAAGAAAAAAATACCACAAAAGATATCCCATGACGTAAGTGTGGCTTTTGGAATCATATTTCTTCTGGGATAACTACACATTGTTTTTTCATCTTACTTAATGAAAGGAAAATACAGAGAAATTTATCCAAGTCTGTGAGAAAATTTGTAAAGGATCCATATGTCTTTCTTAGTTTTAGGTAGCTTCCCTTAGTTAATGCTACAGCATTGTAGCACATACATACACAAGAGGCAAACATGCTCACAGGCCATGCTGCCTCTGCTGAACAATTAGATCATGCAGGGTCTATGCATAAGTGAAGGAAAGCTGCTTCTGCTAATAACTACTCTGTACGATTTTGTCATAACTCTACACTGGGCAACAAGCAAAGAGGCAGGAGTCTCTGCAGTGTGTACGTTGCTGCTGTCATTCCTTTCCTTGGGGAGAGACAAGGGACACATCATAAAATTGAGAAATGATTATGATGAGTTCACTGACTACAAAATGGTGCAATATTTCCTTTGAAAGTGTGACTATTAAAATCCTGCTATCGGTGATATATGACCTGAACTGTGTCCTTTTGTTAAATTTTTGTGTGCTGAACCAAGAGCGTATTTAGATGCCTAGAATGGTAATGTGATAATGAGATAGTAGTTCTTTTTGAATCCGTAGACTGTTTGTGCTTGAGTGCAAAAACATTGACACACTTCTCGGTGTTACGGTACTAGACTGTAAATCATACTCACCTAGGAGGTAAAAGATGCGTAGAAATGACAAGCATGCAGAGGACCAAGCTCACAGAGTTTCTTCAACGGATCTGGCAGTGACTGCTGAGGTAAAATCATGGGTTGTAGGAGTGAGTCTCTGATAACATACCTGGGTAGAATTGTGCAAGCCCTTCATGCACAGAGGTCCAGCTGTCATCAAGTTCACCTAGCTGAAGATAAGACGTACTTTCATGTGACTGTCGACGTAGTGACAGGCATGTTGTTTTGGAAACTGCACTCTTGAGATAGCTCTGTCTTGAAAGTGGAAAGCCCACGACAATCTCTGCGAACATCCAGGGATGTTCAAATATCATAAGCTGACATACGTAAGCCTAGATGTGAGCAGCATGGTGAAACTGGGTGACGACATTAGATCCGGGGTGAAAATGTTGCAGCAGGTAAGTATGCTGCACAGCTACCACAGTTAGATTCCCGCTACAGAGTTGGCAGCTATTGCCACGAACTGCCGTTTAGGCTGAGCTGTTAGCCCTCAACTGTTGTCCTATCTGCAGCTGTGTTACAGTGTATCTGCATGAACAATTAAGGAGAGTCAGCCCCCGTAAGTGCTGCAAAAAACAAAAAATTATTGCTACAGGCCAAGTGGCTTAAAGCCAAAAATACTTTACAGGAAAAGTGTTAATGATGTGCTGTCACAGCCCACCATATGAAGCTTGCCAGGTTGTTTAAGGACACAGGTGTCACGTCATGTATCTAGCAGAAGGCATGTGACAATACATGCACATCTCTCTTATTATGTACATCAAGATGTCTTTATTAAGTCATCTGGGCTTCTTAAAACTGGTGTTAGGACAAATAAGTCATTCACCTTACACGTCATTTAAACTCCCTGCTATATTAGTCATCCTTTGAACCACAGAAAAACGGGCTTTTTCAGTCAGAACAGGTGCTGTAAACAGAACAAAGTATCGCAAATGTTCAGCTCTCTTTCCTACGGACCATTCGCAGGTAAGATTTCAAAGAGAAAGTTGTTACGGTCGTTACTGTCCTTAAAGGTGGAATCTAAAGAATTCAAAATACTTAGGTCAGATATTTAAAAAAACAGTGAAATTATTTACTACAACATCACAGGAAAATCTGACGTACTTTAAGAAGAAAAGAAGGAAAGTTGCAGTAGACTAAACACTAAGGCTAGTGAACTGCAAAGCCACTTTTTGTTAAAACACATAGAGAAAAATCACTAATTATCAAAGAGACTTTCTAAATTCAGGCACAACACAGCGGGGGTGAATTCCTGTGAAGAGACTGTCAGAAAGAAGAGGAAGAGTAGCGTATTATATTGTTGCAAAATCCAAGTCAGCAGTATGTACATATGTACAAGATAGGGCCTCAAATACCAAGAAGGTACTCTTTTG